GCCCACTTATGATCACATATATGTATCTCAGTAACCGTTCTACCAATTTGTACCAAACTCGGTGTGGTTATTGTGCTTGCCACATATAAGCAAACCGTTGAAAATTATTGAAATCGGACTAAAATAACGGCCGCTTCTCATATAACGGTAAATTTCAGAACTGCTTGAAACTTCAAAATTTCGAAATCTAAGGACTCTAATTTACTCAAAATTGATACGCCCCGGCTTACCATATAGCCGTAGCTTTCGGTAAGGCGAAAAACATATATTTAATACGTGCGCCGGGTATTTAATGTTCGGCTCTGCCCGAACTTAGGCTTTCTTACTTGTTTGTAATTTTTTTATACAAATTCTAAGAAAAATGCACCTGAAAAAGACTTGCGGCACGCACGTACTTATGTATCTCCCAAAGTTTACACTGCTGGCAAATTCAAAAAAGGATTAAAATTTTAAAACTTATTAATAAAATTGAAGTAAAATATGTACCAAATTAAAACCTTCGAATTCGTACGTCCGTCGCTAGTCAAGAATATAGAAGCCATCCTATCTTACGTTTTCAGGTTCTACAACATGATTAATACGCACTCTCGAAGATTTAATTCCTACTGATCAGGAGGAGACAGATAAGATTCATACTCAACTTATTATTTCAACTCAATTGAGGTAATTCTTTAACGAATACAAGAACTTGTTGTCAAAAGTGCAGACTGACTCAAAGAGCAAAATTTTAGCTTTGAACCCTTATCAGGCAGCCAGAGCGTTATGCGAGTCAATGGTCAACTAACAAGTTCTACAATTCCCATAACGAAAAATATCCAATACTTCCCTTATGGCTGCAAAATTTTTCAAGTTGCTGGTTAGTTTTGCTTTGCATGACGTCACACTTGTGCAACTTGTTTACGTTTTCCTTGCAACATTTTTTCTTCTTCTTCCATTCTTGCTCACGTTTTGGAATTTCTCTCTCGCGATTGCACCAGTGTGACGTCACACAAAAGTTATTCTCAAAAATCCTCTCTGATCTCCATGATTTTCTCTTATATCCTTGCTTATTTCTTTCATGCAAAACTTAACCTGAACGTGCGTAAGTATTTTTTTCAACTAACTAACGTTTAGTAAACGCTCAACTACATAAATGCTTATAGAAAAGATAACTTAACTTACTTGTTCCTCGCCATATTTATCGGCCATGTCCCGCTTATTGAAACCCGTTAAATTTCCATAGTGTCGCTCGTTCAAATGCCAATCGCTTACAACTTCCAAATCGCAGAGATTCAATTCTTTCAATATAATACTCAATGATTGTCTAGCGCGTGATAATGCCGATGAGTATGCAATATCGAATTTTAAATTGCTTTCACGCAATGCTGTCGCTGAAATATTTACAGCATCTTTGGCGCCTATAGAAATGACGACAATTTTGGCATTAATGGTTGCATAGGAATATTTACATACATGCAATATTATATGATGAAAATGCAACTAAGAGCCATATTTACAGTGAAGAGTTAACTCTTATTATGCTGTTAACTATCGATTTTCAGTACAATAATTGACAATTAACTACCGAATGCGAGTTAAACCTTCACTGTAAAAACGGAACTGAAAATATAAAACTAGTAATTTTTAGCAAAAAAAAACCGACTCAACTCCCATATAAAAAAAAATNGTTCAGTTTGCATGTTAATGTTTAATAGAATAAAATATACGTAATCTAAGCGATGAAAAATAACATTTAAAAGTAATGAATGTGTTAACAATTAACAAACGCATGCAAACTTGTTAATACTTTTAAATAAATATTGTTGAGCTGAAAATGAGCTACTAGGCTTGTATATCCCAGCAAGCAAATCTGAACGCGGTTCAATTTTCGGCTACTCCCTATAGTTCCTATAGTTTCAATCTGAAGGAAGTTTTCCTTTATGATCGCGGAAAAATTACGAGCCTTGCAGAAGTTTTACAGATAATTCCTAAAAATCGCGAATTGCTACGGTAAGCAGTGCCCCCTAAGGGCGCGAACAGAGTGGCCGCTTGTTGCCGAGCCGAGCCGACTGNCCATGATTTTCTCTTATATCCTTGCTTATTTCTTTCATGCAAAACTTAACCTGAACGTGCGTAAGTATTTTTTTCAACTAACTAACGTTTAGTAAACGCTCAACTACATAAATGCTTATAGAAAAGATAACTTAACTTACTTGTTCCTCGCCATATTTATCGGCCATGTCCCGCTTATTGAAACCCGTTAAATTTCCATAGTGTCGCTCGTTCAAATGCCAATCGCTTACAACTTCCAAATCGCAGAGATTCAATTCTTTCAATATAATACTCAATGATTGTCTAGCGCGTGATAATGCCGATGAGTATGCAATATCGAATTTTAAATTGCTTTCACGCAATGCTGTCGCTGAAATATTTACAGCATCTTTGGCGCCTATAGAAATGACGACAATTTTGGCATTAATGGTTGCATAGGAATATTTACATACATGCAATATTATATGATGAAAATGCAACTAAGAGCCATATTTACAGTGAAGAGTTAACTCTTATTATGCTGTTAACTATCGATTTTCAGTACAATAATTGACAATTAACTACCGAATGCGAGTTAAACCTTCACTGTAAAAACGGAACTGAAAATATAAAACTAGTAATTTTTAGCAAAAAAAAACCGACTCAACTCCCATATAAAAAAAAATATATATATATATATCTCATGATCCGCTGATCGGATCTTAACGAGATTAGTATGGGACCACCTCTGAGACACTACCTTTCCGATGCAAAAAGAATTATCAAAATCGGTTGACGCGGTCCAAAGTTATGCGGTAACATACATAAAAAAAAAAAAAAAAAAAATATATTCCGACGAACTGATAACCTCCTCCTTTTTTGGAAGTCGGTTAATAAAACTACATCTCAGTTTACGTAGAACGGGCTTCAGCTTAATTAAATATGATGATAAAAGAAATTGATTACAAATTTATTTGGTGAAGCTTCTTAATATTAAAGTAACATACATATGTATATACAGGCCCGTTGAGAGGGAAGGGGGAAAGAGGGGAGTCCCCTCCGAGCCCGGAATTTTTAAGGGACCTGACATATCAGAACCATAACTTGTTATAATTCAAGTTTTTACAATGTAATTGCTCCATCGTTATCGGTTTTTAACCGACTTCAAAAAAAAGGAGGAGGTAATCAGTTCGTCGGAATATATGTATATATTTTGTTTATGCTTGTTACCGCATAACTTTGGACCACGTTAACCGATTTCGATAATTCTTTTNCATGCAAATATACCCTACAAGTAGGGATGGCAGCGATTAATCATTTGATTAAATTAATCGATAATTTTTGTTCAATTTACGATTTAATTGTATCATAGTTTTGTGTTTCATTAATCGATTAATTGTAAAATAATCGTAAAAATGTTTTCAAGAAATATGAATTCTGTAGTTGTCTAAAATCCATCCATCGAACATCCTCTTCAGCTANGGAAAGGTGGTACCTCAAGGGTGGTCCCATACTAATTTTGTTTAGATACAATAATTGGATCGTGAAGAAATTAACGATAATCTTAAATTTTTATAAGAGAATTGAAGTCGGTTTTGTTCTTTGCTTAAAAATTACTTGTTATTATAAATCTGTGTTTGTATGGAATAGTAGCTTATGTCGAGAAGCTGGCTTTAGTATAATGCGGCNCCTCTTCAGCTAGCTGCATCAACTTTACTCGACCAGAGGCTGAAAAAAATTAATTTCAAAGATCCGTTAGCATTGGCCTCAGTAATGAAGTTCTTGCGAAAGGAAANATTATCCTTTAAACGAAAAAGAATTTTTTGATAAGACTTAATAAGAATATTCATTTGCTAGTATCGGAACTATTTCTCGCACGTTTACTTGCCAAAAGTTCTTCAACGGCTCGGCGCCAATGAGTCATTCGCAATCGTATTCTGCGTATGCCGTATTATACTTAAGCCAGCCTTTCGAAATATATTCCTATTTCCGCTGATTGTTTCTGACTCTATACATTAAAAAAAAAAATTATCTCATGCTTTTAAATAATTTAAAACAATTTATGTATAGGGACCCGTGATTTTTCAATCCGGGCCCGAGTTTGCTCTCGACTGCCCTGCATATACATATAACGGGTGATTTTTTTGAGGTTAGGATTTTCATGCATTAGTATTTGACAGATCACGTGGGATTTCAGACATGGTGTCAAAGAGAAAGATGCTCAGTATGCTTTGACATTTCATCATGAATAGACTTACTAACGAGCAACGCTTGCAAATCATTGAATTTTATTACCAAAATCAGTGTTCGGTTCGCTTTACGTCCGATTTATGGTCTACATAATCGACCAAGTGAGCAAACAATTAATGCGATTGTGACCAAGTTTCGCACTCAGTTTACTTTATTGGACATTAAACCAACCACACGAATGCGTACAGTGCGTACAGAAGAGAATATTGCGTCTGTTTCTGAGAGTGTTGCTGAAGACCGTGAAATGTCGATTCGTCGCCGTTCGCAGCAATTGGGTTTGCGAAACACATTTCGAACCGAACACTGATTTTGGTAATAAAATTCAATGATTTGCAAGCGTTGCTCGTTAGTAAGTCTATTCATGATGAAATGTCAAAGCATACTGAGCATCTTTCTCTTTGACACCATGTCTGAAATCCCACGTGATCTGTCAAATACTAATGCATGAAAATCCTAACCTCAAAAAAATCACCCGTTACATACATATGTATGTACATGCAAATATACCCTACAAGTAGGGATGGCAGCGATTAATCATTTGATTAAATTAATCGATAATTTTTGTTCAATTTACGATTTAATTGTATCATAGTTTTGTGTTTCATTAATCGATTAATTGTAAAATAATCGTAAAAATGTTTTCAAGAAATATGAATTCTGTAGTTGTCTAAAATCCATCCATCGAACATCCTCTTCAGCTAGCTGCATCAACTTTACTCGACCAGAGGCTGAAAAAAATTAATTTCAAAGATCCGTTAGCATTGGCCTCAGTAATGAAGTTCTTGCGAAAGGAAATAATGTGCGCAGATGATCATATTGAACCGGGTAGCGAGTCGTCACTAGAATCAGTAGAAAACGAGTTCGATCTTTGGGCCCCTCATAAATCTCTTGTACACAAACGAAGGCGAAAAAATCATAATTTGGGTCACCCACAAGATGAAATGAGTTTTTATTTAAATTGTAAAGTCCTAGAACTAAAGCGGAATATCATCGACGCTTAGGGAGAAATGAAAACTGTTTATCCAAAACTTTACGGACTTTCGAAAAAATACTGGGAAAAAAAATTGTCTGTGGCAACGCTGCCTACATGCGCATTTATTTACCTTGCTCACTTAAATCAGCATCATGCCACCCGCAGAAGAGATTCAACTTATTCCATTCGCTCTCACCGTGCCGTAAGATTACTAATTGGTTAGTTTTCATATTGCCTTGTTTTTGTTTTGCCGTGGGGCACACTGACTTTAAACTGAAAATACAGGAAAGTAAAGTTTAAACAGCTGTTTTTTAAGATGTCTGTATGTCCACTGTATAAATTATAAATAAAAGTTTCTGCATTTCTCGTAATTGCTATGTGCGCTTGAAATTAGTAAAGTGTACACAAGTGTGCAAGAAACACAACTTTTGATTCATTCAAAGAAACTGCATTACATTGTAACAATACGATGAACTATACTTAAAAACATACATACGTATCAATACATACATACATTTTGAGAGAAATCATGCGCACATCACCCACATTTATGCGAATTGCCATTATCACCAAAAGTCGTATTTTTTCCAATGTTGTCGTCTATGCGTCTAAACAAATTCTAATAGAAGAATGAGCATTATTCGCGTGTAAAGGGTCGCACATTAAGAGTGGAGGCTTTCGTTAGCGGCATTACCGAATTACCGCCATGAGCTGTCTTTAGTGTTGTTATGAACTGAAGATTTCATACCCAATGTACGATTTTTTAGCTGAGAGATCTTGTATAAAAAATTATAATAAATTTATAATAACCATAAAGAGTAAATTCTGCAATAATGCATCTCTGTACATTTAAACGAAGTTGCTATATTGGCAACTGCATTTTTGTGATTTCCGCGGAAATTTTTACTGAGATAATAGCCCTGTTTTTGTACGCACTATCCAGTAACAGTTTCTACTGCTTAGTGTAATTTACACTAACTAAACAATTGTTTGTGGGGACTTCACACTTGCAACTGACAAAATTAACTTATTTAAATGTATAATAAGATAATAAATACTATGCTTCTTTGAAAATTGCTTCGAAAAATAATAAATTTATCAGCTGTTCATAAAACTTGCAAGTTCTTGCTGGTTTTGCATTTTTGTACTCTCTTGCATGCTTTTCTCATTGGGAGCAAATGCTGGCTTATTCTCAGAAATTTTGTTACTAGTAAGTTACATATATATATATTTCGTTTTTCAACTGTATCTTCAGCTTATTTACACTCAAGTCTTAGTTCCTGGTACTTCAAAATTCTATTATCTTCAACTTTATAGCACTCAACTATAGTTTTTGTTCATAATATTTGTTCATTGACCTTGATCCAAGATAGGCTGACATTGAAAACGACTCCCTTTTGTACATACATATGTATGTACATATGCATGTTAGGGATCTTAATTTTTCGGCTTTTTCCGATCCCGGGATTTTCGGGATGGGGTTGTCACAATCCCGGGATTAGTATCGGGATTTAGATATTCATTACTTCCCAACAACTTGAATCGAAAAAATTGCTTCTATATTGTTTGAGAAGATCTCCTACCATGAAATAAATAATAATAAATGGGTTTGAAAACTACTTTTTTATTTAAAGTGGCGTTTTTATTTATTCTCTCTGACCGCAGGATTTATTTTGAAGGACTTTGTAATTTCAAAGATATGATTAATTCCAAAAATTGTTAAAAAAATTCAATGCAATGTACTTAGAATAAAAATATGGGTAAAAAATGCAATATGAAATTTCTTTAGACTATGTTCAAATAGGCACCTTATTGGCAATTAAGAACCCTTTCACCAATTTAAGCCTTAATTGTTACCCAATTTATCATACAAAAACTCAAATTATTAATTGCCAATTAATAATTAATTGTTATTTTGTGTCATATTCTCTATGCAACCCTGCTAGTTATGTTTAATTTTGACTTGGAGGTATGTTTATTGAATAAAGAGCAATCAGCTGTTAAATATTTAAAATTGTACCTACTTTACGGAAAGCTTTATCTGAAAGTGGGTAGAAGTACCTAACAAGTAAATATGTATTTCTATATAAAGAAGATAGGAGAATAACAATTCCCATCGATACATCAACTTCAGTACTCACATTAAACAAATTTTGGTTATGAAAAAAATCTCTTTGAGCATCGCGAGACAAAACTATGTTTTAGAAAAGGTGAATCACTTTCATCCCAGTTCTCCGATCTGACGTTAAAAAATAAATATTTTCAGTCTATCTGGCGAAATCAACTACAGTTGCGTTACTTTGACCACCTTTTTGTAGAAAGTATTGGACAAGTTCCCGCAACAGAAAATGTATTGAAATGTTAATAAAAATAAGAACTGATTTCCTGGGAAGTTATTTGGCTACGTTCCAAATGTACCTAAAATTGCGTGTTTGTACCGAATGCACTTTCAAACTAAATAAAGGTACGATTGTACCAACTTTTCCATCACTGTAGGTAATCCAGCAGCTGATTTCGAATCGCTAATTGCGCAGCTGACGTATGTGTGAATACCAAACTCAATTCCGCAATTTAAAGCTTAATTGCCTCAGCTAATTGGCCTGTTTGAACATAGTTTTAGAGTTTAAAAATTAAAATTTTTTGGATTTACAAGGACGAATAGGTAATTTTTAAGCTAGAAGAACGAAACTCGAGGATGTTATCGAGTTTATATAAGCCCTTAACATATAATTTTATCAAAAACAAATATTGCGAAATTTCAAGGATGTAGAATGTGGCCCTTTCTTGTTGAAACCGCGTTTCGTCCAAATAAAAATCGCAAATTTCAGACCGGAAATTGTTATCGATCACATGAGCATAGCTTAGAGATTTGGCGGTTAGTGCGGCTCCTTAGTTTTTCTCGAAAAAGAACAACTCAATGGTGCAGTCGATCCTAATACGTAATTTTACACATTAACATAGCCGCCGAATGTGAAATTCGACTAGTTTCCGAATATTTTCTTCGATATGCCTAAAAATGCAGCCACAGAAGATGCACAAGTTTGCTGGAATTGTTTTAAAGTTTTACGCATTCGTAAAAAAGTTTTGATGACAGTGACATTTGACCACACCTAGTGAAATCCTGAGAATTCTTGAAATCGCACATAACCCATCTATTATACTCGTATACAAATTTCATCATACCGTCTTCCAGCCAGTTTTGCAACGAATAACTGAAGAAGAAATTGAGGTAAGCAGACTGAATATGCAAGTTAATATTAGTCAAAGAGAGATAAAAAAGTCGGTTTATAACTACATACATATGCCTCTTTAAAAATTCGAATAGTTGTTCTACTACAGAGAGAAAAGTAAAGGAATACTTCTATAAATAGTTCCTAGACGATGCAGTACTATAGATCGCATATTTTGAATAAAAAATCATTTAAAAAATTTCAAGCGCCAAATGAAGACGAATTTTTTATCAGCTACTTGCAAAGTTTACTTAAATGATATGTTAAAGTCATTCTCAAATCCATTTTACCACTTAAAATTCAACTCTAAACTCAAGCCATACTAATTTTAAACAGGTTTAAAATTTATGGCATCAAAATTTGTGGTGGTTAGCAGCTTCCTATTTGTACTAATTTGATATTCCTCATAGCTCAATGAACGTACTACGTGGTAAACATACATACTGCATCACTAAAAAAAGTTGCGGTTGTACAAAATTTTGGGGCACCGAAATTGCGCATATGGAAACTGTGCATTTAGACATTATTTCGGTTTCAACCGAAACTGTGCATGTATGCTTTATTTCGGTTTTTACCATATGCATTATTTCGGTTTTAAACCGAAAC